AGTCATGCGTCTGTCAAAACCCCCCCTTACCACTGGGGTGTATTACATCGTTGCTGGGGTGCGAGCAGGGGAGGGGGTCGTCATCACCAGAGATCAAAAGGGCCCCGCTGACATCTGGCCCCTGGACCCATCAACCGGAGGGTAAAGAAAAGCTGCTAGGGGTCAGTGGGGGTTGCGCTGATGCACTAACATAAAACACCACCTTGCTGATTTGTTTAGATGGTACAGAGTGCAGACGAACTTTGACCACTGGCTTCCTCCTCTGCCTTCAGACCGAAGAAGGTAAGTTTATCACGTGATGAAGACATATCCATAATGATTTGTATCTATAGATGTCCTGAAGCTGACGTCACAGACATTTGAATCTAGCCGCAGCCATATTGAGTACCTGCTCTGGTCACCTGCGCGTTAAAGATGCCATCTGTATGTTTTGCCATTGGGAGGGACAATAAATAAGGTGACCCAAAGATTTCTTTTTAACGACTGCCAAAACAGAATGAACTTGGCAGAGATGGCTGGCAGCAATCGGAAGGGCCGATTGACTGTAATAAGCAGTCCGTGCAGTTTACATTTGGTATCAGGTAGTTTTTCAAAACAAGCCAGGAGAGCTAGCTTAGGCTGTTGCCAACTGGATTTAATGTCTTGGACAGTTTTTTTTCTGCAGAAATTTAATTAATTAGATTACTGATCGGACAATGCCGTCTTTTAGGGTCAATAACCCAACCAGCTTTCAAACTTTGATAGGTATCTGTGCTTTTAAAAGCTTTCAGACTTTTTCTGGTGTACAGTATGAGGATAGGTTGTATATAAGTTATATATATCAGTTGTGAAAGGATAAATCTGAAAGCCTGTCAGTTGAAAAAAAGTATATATAAATCGCATACAATTACACAGATTTTCTTTGTGTGCTGTTTAAGCTCACAGGGATTAAATGAGAATGGTCCATAATGGATCATCTATTCTGATCAGAGGGGAAGCTCAACAGAGCTAAGTTAAGTTAAGCTACGTACTCAATATGGCAGCCGTAAGGTAGAATCATAATGACGTCACGCTTCTGAAATGCATACATTGTTACGATGCTGTTCTGTGATCAACAGGGAAGCAGCCATGGTAGCACTGAATAAAATAGGTCAGGCTTCCATCAACATGAAAAAACTTCATCAGGCAAGTACTGACAACCTCATGTAGTGTAAGTCATAGTTCATTTTGGGAATTTGTGGTTTGATAACCAAGCCTTGTCCTTCAGGTTTTGGCATTGTCTCCTGTGTGCAACAGGTGAGGATACAGTTTTCTCTTGCACTTTTGCTTCCTTTGTGCTCCAACAAATTACGTGGCAGGTTCTCTGCTGAACTATACAGGGTGCTTTATCCTCCTGTTCAGCTTTAACCATAGTACCAATACACTTTAATCAGGCTACATGCTTGCATTTTTAGTGCTATGCAAAGTGTTCAAACCTGGTTATTTTTACACATTTTTTTTTCAAATTACAACCACAAATGTCTGTATTTTAGTGGGATTTTTATGTAACCAACAAAGCAATTAATAATAATGGGAGCATAAAAATCTATGTTCTAAATTGCTTTTATAAGTAGAAATTTGAAGTGCTGTGACATTTGTAGCTTTATCCTGCACCCTACTGTTTTATACCCAAAAAGGAAATCCAATTCAACCAAATACTCTCAGATACAATCTAATTGTTTTATGAAGGACTTGGGTTGGTAGAAGACATTTGTAAAAAATAGTCTATCATAATCAAGTCAAGTACCTTAACGTTCAGGGATAAAGTTGTGCAAAAAAGTGTTGTGAATTGGTGCTATATAAATAAACTGAATTGAATTGAAATTGAATCCTAAAGAAAGAAACCTAGATGTTTGTGGTTTTAATATGAAATACCAAATAAATATTAAAGGTGCATGAATATCTGGCCCATTTTTAAGGAAACAAACATATCTTGACATTTCTTTTCAGCTTGTCAGATGCGTTAAACTATCATTAACCATTTGTCCTTTTACCCTCCAGAAAAACGATCTATACAACACTAATGAGTGCAGCATACCCCAGAGAATACACCACACTTATCATAGATAAGGTAATCCAAATACATTTAAAATATCCTCAGAAAATGATCATAAACACTCCAAACAAAACGATCCCCTAACTCACTCTGTCTCCCGTTTCATTCCTTTTAAAGGGCTGTCATCGACCATCAACCTAACTGACAACCAGGGAGCAAAGAATATCTGAAGACTGCCTTTGCTGATTCTTTAATACAACTAATTGTGGAATTGTATTATTAGCTAATGAGATTCCAACAGAATGGAGCCCTACAAAAACATTTAGCACAATTATCTTTCTTTGTGATATATGATGATTAAAACTTGGATAAGAATGACACATGAAAAATACTAAATACATTTTACATCATCTTCTGTTCTTGTGTTTTATGCCCTATTTCCCACTCCTCGAAATGAGATACCTGTTTTGGTTTTTTGTACATTAAAGAAAGTTTATAATCACTTTAACTGGGCCTTAAATTACCTGCGAGTTTCTGCATTTTTTTTTAGATTCAGTTCCAAGAAGTAGAGCATTACATTATTTTATTGTTTTTTATGAGTGACTGGCAGTAGGACTCCGCAGGGTTATTGAACGTCCAGATGTGGACACATGCTACCACTCACCAATTAACATAACTATTAACCTCAGTTAATAGTTAACTACATATTAACACAAGTCTAACAGTGTCTTTTATTACTTATTATCAGAGGTGTCAAGTAAGAAAGTACAAATACTTTGTTACCTTCCTTAAGTAGAAATTTTCGCTATCTATACTTTGCTGGAGTAATTATTTTTTAGATACATTTTTACTTCTACTCCCTACATTTTATTTTGTTTCATCCAGACAATTTATTTGTGGTTGGACTTAAAAACTAATATTTAGTTTTTCAAGATGATGCTGAGTTTTATTGGACACTGTTAACATTAGTTATAAAACTAAGAACATTTAATATAAGGAAGTTATCAAGAATTGTAGAAAAATTTTCCTTTAATAGGGCAGTGCAGTTTATTATATTTATTTGCAACAATCTTTGTCTTCAACTTTCTTCCTGATGTATATTTCATATAAATTACATAAAATCAGTGGATGGAATTAGAAAATAATTATTGTATATATATATTTTTGTTATGTTTTGTAGTGAAGGGTAAAACAAGTTGTGTGTTTTTTGACCACCACCTGGAATGATAGTGTAGAGCAGTTTGTTTTATCAGGCTGATTATTTAAAATCTATTTTATCAGATGAAACAAAATGTACGGAAGAGGATTAGGGCCACTGAAAAATAAAAAAAAAGTTAAATGAATTTTACATTTTATTTCAGTATAATATTTTGACTTTCACCTCAGAAGTCTGACTAGAATTCTGCCTTTCAGAATTCTAACTAGAATTCTGGAGTCTCAGAATTCCAACTAGAATTCTGACTTGACTCTCAGAATTCTGACTTTCAGAATTCTAACTCTCAGAATTCTGACTTTCAGAATTATAACTGGAATTCCGCCTTGACTCTCAGAATCCAAACTAGAATTCCACCTTGACTCTCAGAATTCTAACTACAATTCTGCCTCGGCTAACGGAATTCTGCCTCTGCTCTCGGAATTCTGCCTCTGCTCTCGGAATTCTAACTAGAATTCTAAGTTTACTCTAGGAATTCTAACTAGAATTCTGCCTTGACTCTCAGAAATCCAACTAGAAATCTGCCCTGACTCTCAGAAATCCAACTAGAAATCTGAATTTAATCTCAGAATTCTAACTAGAATTCTGACTTGACTTCCAAAATTCTAACTAAAATTCTGACTTTACTCCCAGAATTCTGACTTGACTTTCAGAGTTCTAACTAGAACTCTGAATTTAACCTAAGATTTCTGACCTTTTTCTTAGAATTCTGACTTTGATCTCAGAATACTGACTCTAACCTCAGAATTCTGACTTTTTTCCTAAGAATTCTGACTTCAACCTCAGAATACTAACTTTAATCTCTGAATTCTGACTGAATTCTTACAGCTAACAAACATGTTAGCATCAAGGCGTAGCCATGTCTGTTTTAAAGACTAAACTAGCTATCTTGTTTTAATCACCCTTTGCCCTTCCATTAATTAAATAGCATCTTTGTGTTAAATAGCATCACGTAAAAAGTTACCTAATTGCATCATTTTCCACCAATGTGTTACTGGCACGCTCACAAACAACTCACATCTTTGTCAGTGAAGCTGGTGCCCATCTACATTAAGATCCAAAATTCTGAGTCAGAATTCTGAGAAAAAAGTCAGAATTCTGACTTTTTTTCTCATATTAAAATTGAAATACAATGTAAAACTCAGTTAACTTTTTTTTAGTGCCCCTAATCCTCTTCATTAATCCTGAGATTTCAGTCGAAAGGGGAATCTGTAGAGGCTAAGGAAACCTTTACAGGTCTTTTGAGTAAATTAGTTCATGACAGTTTTGAATATTTAACCCTTAACAAAATTCAGGTTTCTGAGACACTGATTAATTAAAATAATATAAATCTAATTTCATATCTATCAAATGAAAATATTAAAAATGCAATACACAAAGGCCCCATTTGTTTTTCTTTTAGATGTATATAGTTGCTTCATATACAATCAAAATAAAACTTTATTTCCAATACTCCATCATTATTTTCTCATATTATAAAATATTCAACTAGTAATAAAATCAAATATTGTTTTGTTAAATTTTGGTTTATGAAGGAAAACAAAGGTTACTTAAATTAAAATGGCTAATATTTGTTATTATACTTTATATTGCTTTTCTGCTTACATGAGGAAAAGAGAAAACTCATAGACATGATGATGAATCAAAATATATGGACAAAACTAAGGCAGGTTTATGTTTTCACGGAAGCGATACAACGGCCAAGCGTGTTCCCACCGGAAGATGGCAGTAGAGTAACGATTGTGATCCTGAGGAGAAGAAGAAACGGGAGCAGACGCCTGTTGTCAGGGGATCACATGATATGACAAAGCAGTTAGCGGCTTCTTTCCAGACGACAACAGAGACTGCGGCTATTGACTCCTCCAAGATGCTGGCCCTCATTAACAGACTGTTAGACTGGTTCCGCTCGCTTTTTTGGAAGGAAGAGATGGAGCTCACGTTAGTTGGACTTCAGTACTCGGGAAAAACTACTTTTGTCAATGTGATCGCTGTAAGTAGCCAACGTTAGCAAAGACGCATAAAGTGGGCCCAGGCTACTACCTGGGAAAGGGTGAAGGTATCTGTGACACAATCTATTAAGCCTCTTCTGATCAAAAAATAATATCGTAACATTGTTGCTTGAAAGCATTTATTAGATGTGTTTAGATGAGAAACTGTGAGAGTACGAACTTTCGCAAATCCTTCAAACAGCTGGTGTTGGAGAATGACGAAGTTCTCGGTATGACTGAGCTTACTAATACAACGGGTCATGTGACCATGCTGTCAGAGCTTTGGAGCAGCTATCGGTGTTATGCTGAAAAATGCATCCCTGCCAAGACATGCATCCCCAGTCGCGGGAGCGCGCCTCGCTTTGTACAACTGCATATCGACGAGGAAAACGGATGAAATATGACCAATGGAGCTACTTGTTGTTATATTAATGATATAAAAACGTTTAAATATACCTAGGAAAAATTAATAAAACCCGTACTTTGCTGCCAAATAACATCAGTTTTTTCCCACGAGAGGAAAATTTGAACGCTTTTATATCATTAATACAATAACAAGTAACACTATTAGTCATATTTTAATCCGTTTTCCTCGTCGATATGCAGTTGTACAGAGCGAGGCGCGCTCCCGCGACTGGGGACGCATGTCTCGGCAGGGATGCATTTTTCGGCATAACACCGGTGTGTCCACAACACCGCTCTGGGCTGAACGCTGACAGCAGGCGGTCTGTGTTGTAAATCACCGAATTACAAACAATTTGTAACCTTACGTTTTTTTGTTTGGTTTTCTTTTGTTTCTGTTGTACCTGTAGATGAAACAACCATGTATAGTTATGCATTTATTCATGTTATGTCAAGATGTTGGTTGAGTTTTCGGAAATGTTGCCTAATCACAGTTGTGGATAGTTTGGTTGTCAGACAGATTGCTTCCTGACGCTGTTGGACCTGTTTAGTAATCCTGTTATAGATTGAGGAGGGGTTAAACAATATCACTGCTCGTCAGTGACTAGTCATGTAATTTGGGGATATGTAGCATTTTAGAGCTAGCAGACTGACCTTTCTGCTAAATCACTGAAATCTTAAATTCAGTTTATCGGTTTAAGAGGAAAGTTTTTATGATTTTTGTTTTCTTGCTGTTAACTAGTGTTAGAGGAAGATAAAAGGCACCATCTGAAAAACCAGTTCCCTAATGGGCATGCCACTGATGACATCACATAAGGCAGCTGATCGGAGGGCCTTTCAGTACTCCATTTGCTGTTTTTAATAGTTTTTTTTGTTTTGTTTTGTTTTGTTTTGTTTTTTGCTCCTGATGAAATTCCTAATAATTTTCTAAACTGGAGGTCTTCAACAGGGGTCCACGGAGGTACTGCATGGAGGTTGCAAAAGTTTTGGTTGATTAGACTTTTTTAATATTCCCCCCCCTGTAATAATTTCCACTAATTGAAATGTCTTTATATACACATTAACATGAATTCAAAACACTGTAGTGAACAGATAAATGGAGGCAGAAGATGTCTTTGAGTCATCGATGCACACATTCAGCGACACATGGGAGCTCTTTCAAGCTGGACACCGTTTTATTCCCACTACCCTTCCCCATCAACCAGGAATCAGAATCAGAAATACTTTAATAATCCCAGGGAGAAATTACTTTCGTTATATTACTCCATCTCTAATAGAGTGACTATTGGACCTGTTTAATATAACACAATTTCATGCAATATATATAATTAGGGCCTCCCGGCTCCATCTCTCCATCCTTGGCCTGGACAACGTTAAAGACCCCTGCTCTAAACCATTACTATTAATGTTAAAATTAAATACTAAACCTCTTTATTCTCACAGCTGGGTCCTTTAGGATTTGGCAAAATGCCAAGACGAGCCTCACATTCAAGTATTATTGTTTATAAACTCCACAGTCACTACTTTTTTGAACATCCTAACATGATTTATAAGCTTAATACAAAACGGCTCATGAAAAACTTTAAAATGTTCTGTTTAGGCCTGCTACTATCATCACCATCACAAACTTTATTTGTAGAGTGTATAAAAACAATAATAAGTGCTGAACATAGCTAAAGATAAAGTAGGCTAAGACTACCTAGCTTTCTATAGTGGTCATTTAAGCCCAGGACACAGCGATTTAATAGTAAATAAAAAATAGTCTGTTATTAATGCAATCTGCATGCACAGTGACTCCACCTCCTAGCAGTGACTAGCTGTCGTCCGACGCCCCTTTTTCAGCACAACTCCCAACCGTCCCTCATTCCTGCATGTCTGTTAAGCAGCCGACTGCAGGCTGGTTACTGAAGCAGATCTGTAGCTAACTAATGCTAGCTTATCAGGCTCATCACTGTATGAAGAACAGAACAGAACAGCAAATGTGTTTAATATTTGGTGCTTAAAAGCTGTTGCTAAATTTTTTGTTTTTATTTGGTTAACCTTTTAAAAGAACAGTACAATAATTAATATTTGACCCAAAGTCTTTAAAATACATGGCTTACCACATGTTATCAGCTTGTGGTGCAGTTCAGTTTGCACAGTAGTCATTTCTGTAATGTTCATTAGTGACAGCAAAGGCAAGTTTTTATTAAACTGCCTCCAGGCTCCTAAATGGGCTGTAAACGGGGGAAATGCAATTAGCAGAGTGGTACCCTGCAGCAACAGGTGTGGATGGGGCTGTTTTTCAAGACTAGAAGGAAAGTATCTGACTATCTGAGTCACTTTGCTTTTCTTAGTCTATCTAAAGTCTATCATAAGGCTCAACTATAAAAAAGTCTCTGTAAAAACATGATCTAAAAAAATCTGTGAATGACATGAGCAGTGCAAATGCAAAGTGTCTGTGGTAGTGACAAGTATTCATAAAGTGTTAAAGGGGTGATAGAATGATTCTATAGGGTATTTGGTGCTGGTCCTTAAGCTCTCTGAATAGGGCGTGTAACATTGGTTGGACTGAAAATGGCATATTTGCTGTTCAATGAGCCCTAATGCAAGCCTGATTAAAAGCCCTAGAATGAAACGACAGGTTTTCTTCCTTTTATGGTATGCTAATAAATATTTAGATGAGCTGTGCGCTGATTGGTTGGTTTACAACAAGCGAAGCTGCAGAGCAACGACGCATCATAGCAACAAGCACTCACTCACTGAAACATGAAATTGTTGACATAGAAGGGTAAACAGAGGTCCTCTTTTTCTTGGACATGTCAAACTTTTCAAACCTATAAACTGTCTGGGGGGAATTTCAAAATCGTCCAGGATTTTGGTCGAGTACAGTGCAGCAGAACCGAGCCGTGAGCTCTGGGGCTGGTCTGGGTCCGGAGCAACCGAACCTGACCTGTTTACGGTAGCCGCGGCTCCGTGCTTCACCCCGCCTGCTAGCATACGGTCACCGGGTCGGGTTTGGTAGCTCCGTCTCCGGGGTTCCCGGACCAGCCCTGGAGCTCACGGCTCGGTTCGAATGCTCGGTGTGTTCCAGTCAGCGTTCCAGTCAGGGATCTTTTGATAGACAAAAATAATCTATGCCTGTCGAGTCTTCGGTTCCTTGGGAAGACTGTGAAAATTTTCCCCTTTTTCCGTGCAGCCTGGAACACTGCATTTATTGTATGTCAATTTCGGGGTGTGACAGAAGTACAGTCCAGAACCAAATAAGGCAACATCCCCGAATTGACATCAATTCGGTGATTCGTTTGAATTTGCCCATTTTATGGTGGAAGGGGAGGCGTCAATGGGGTTTGAACTTCTGTCAACCATTTCACCCACTGAACTATCATTATTCATCTATGATAATGGAAACTCAGTGTTGCATTCTATGACCCCTTTAAGCAATTGATTTCTGCCTGACTTGTTCCTGAAAACCCACTGTCTGTATCTGTTTGGGTAATTTATAATAAAGGTGCTCAAAGTTAGACTTACAGAAACAAAAGACTAAGGAAGGTTTTCTTTGTTGTGATTAGACAGCATAATGCTTTCATTCAGTGATTAATGGGCCAAGATGGTACATGTTTTCCAATGAATCTAGAGGGTATGTCCATACCTAAAATGGTAATAATTCAAGCTGTGATTTATTTCCACAATCTTTTACCTCATAGGCTTTAGATAAAATGATAACTTGTTCAATTTTTCACTAATATGCAGCGCCTTTTTTCTCTTGCATTTCTCATTTGCAGTCGGGGCAGTTCAGTGAAGACATGATTCCCACAGTGGGTTTCAACATGAGGAAGGTCACTAAGGGCAACGTAACAATAAAGGTAAGCAAGTAAACAAGGCTGTGCTGTTATTTCACTATAAACAAACATGGAGATTTACTGATAGTATTTCATCCAGTTGGTGTCATCCAGCTGTGTTAAATCTTTGAACTTTTAATACCAGTTGTAGCAGATTTATGCTAACATTATAATCAATCCAAGCTTTATTTAGCCTTCTAGCCTCAAGTAGTCTATATTTAATTACAACTGAAAAATTCTCCTGTGTGTCTGAGAAATAATGAGTTGCAATTGGATTAGCATCCTCTATTAGCAGGGCTACTGGTGTTAGCTTTGCTAAATCATCTCTTCATGTATTCCCTTCAGTTAAGACAAAGATTTTTGCTTCACAGACAAAAAAGGTCTTGTTGAAATTTCTTCTAGGCTACAAAATAAGTGCAAACCCTTTTTAATGTGATCTGTGGGTGTTTTTTCCCACCATCACAATCAAAACATCATGCAGTATTTGACTATGTTTGTTGCAGAACACGGATCTGTGATTAAGGATCTGAAACTCATAGAACATGTCATTTCTCAGCAGCAATGCCAGGATGTTGGGTGTTTTTTTGTTTCTTTTAATAAAACAGTTGCAGTTGCTCTAAAGAATAGTTTTCCCCCTCTGCTTTGAAATGCAACTCATGCAATGTTTAAGTCCCATTTACATTAAAATAAGAAAGATAACCAAAAGTCTGGTAAATATATATATTTTTTGTTGTGTTTTATATTTTTCCATTTTCCAAGTTTTTGTTTGTGACTCTGATACAATAAAGAGAGGCTCCACCTGCCTCCACTGCATGTCCTGGTGTTACAAAAGTGTATTGTTTTTTTGAGGGGAGGCACCAAATCAATCCAAAACTGCAGATTATTTGTTCCATTAACCTCTATTTTACCAGGAAAGAAATCGATCTTTTACAGGATGTGCTGGTTGCACTTCAGACACTTTAGCCCAAAGGATGTAGATATTTAGTTTAACTGTAGGACTTCATAAAGACTTCTAACATTTCCCAATGCCCCACACTCTGTAACACAGACTGAAAGCTTAAAAGGATTAAACAAAGTAACGTTGCTGTAATGTTTTAGCCATCTCGTTCTCCTACTAAAGTCAATCAACTGCAGACATTGTCCCCACATGTAGAAAACACGGTTTTCTTTAAGATTTCATCTCACTTCCCTTCTAACTTTAACTAATTACACCTCACTGATAACCTCACCGTAACAACCTTTGAACTGGAACTGCTTAGAAACCAGTTAAATGTTGGAAGAAACATTTTTTATTTTTATTTTGTGCTTTCCTGTTTCAGATCTGGGACATAGGTGGACAGCCGCGCTTCAGAAGCATGTGGGAACGCTACTGTAGGGGAGTCAATGCTATTGTGTAAGTTATTTCCCTTCCTCTCCCTGCACATGTGAAAGCCTTACAAAAGCTAAATACAGTTTAACACTTTAGACTCCCATCTATTTTTTTTTTCTCAGTTACATGGTGGATGCAGCAGACAGAGAGAAAATAGAAGCTTCCAGAAACGAACTGCACAACCTCTTAGACAAACCACAACTACAAGGAATTCCTGTAAGAGTTCCCTATCTTGGAGTGGAACCACCTGGTGTTCCCATAATTAACTTAGCTTCAGAGTTTTTCTTTGTGAGTCAAGTGACTCCAGCCATAAATGGTATTCTTCTTTTTTCCCACTAAGTCAGGATAACTGACTCAATGGAGTCTCATGTAGTTTATTAATACCATTCAGCTGCAGTGAGGAAAACTTGATGATTGTTCCCTCCTTTCCTTCCTTTAGGTTTTAGTCCTCGGTAACAAGCGGGACTTACCCAATGCGCTGGATGAGAAGCAGCTCATTGAAAAAATGTGAGGAATGCTTATTTCATTTTGTTTGTATGACCTTAAGTTCCAACTTTAACTGACTAATGTCACATGTTGTGTCATAACGTAACGCCTGATTACTCATTTACTACTTTGAGTGTTCATGTTTCTCCTTATTTATTGTACCTTCCTGGTCTACGCAGGAACCTTTCTGCCATTCAGGACCGAGAGATCTGCTGCTACTCTGTGTCCTGCAAGGAGAAAGACAACATAGGTAACTAGCAGAGGGGAAGTTTGTCTGGTCAGAATTTAAGAGGAGGCCAGATGTATTAATCCTAATATTGAACTGAGTTAAATGTGCTCTTACAGCAGCTCAGTTATAACTCATCTTTCTTGTTGAAAGCCTAATTGTCAGTTTTAGGTAAAGTAAGGTTTGTGAGAAATCACTGGGGCTCAGTATACTTCTGCTTCTCTTGACTTATTGATTCTAGTTGTTTATATCAGAACTTTTATTAAAGTACTTGGAGTAACATGTTATTGCATAATACAAAAAAAACACACTATCTGTTGGAAATTTGAGGTTAATTGCATTCTTCTGAAATGAGTTTATTTGATGCCTTATATTAGCTTTTAAATGTTTCCCCCCTGTTGTGGAACCTCCCACAGCATGTGAGATAAACCAAGTTAGGTTTAATTAAGCAGATACTATTAATCTTGGCCTTCCTTACAAGCACCAGTTTCCCTGCTTAATGGTGCATTGAAATAGTTTAGTCTTAAAATATATAAAAAAAAAAAAGAATATATTAGATCTTCTTTGATGTATTGTCTTTATTTTACCAGCGATTCCCTGATCCCCCTGTTCTTATTTCATCTTAATGTATCCTACAGATATCACACTGCAGTGGCTCATCCAGCACTCAAAATCAAGAAGAAGCTGAAATTACAGTCCCCCCCCCCCCTCACCACCACCTCTGCCCGGTCGCAGCGCTGGCCTCAGCCCTCCTCCCCCTCCCTTTCAGTCAGGGGTCCTCAAAAGTCCCCCTTTGCACTGCCTCTGTGAAGTAATCCAGCTTTCTCCACTCACTACCGCCCCCTGCACCATCATGTACACTACCATACATATGTATCCTTCTGTACAGCACCAACCCCCCACCCGTACAACTGGAGTCTCACTACTCTAACAGCGGGTGGATTCTCCATCCGAGTCGGGCCTTCTTAGTAGCCACAACGAACATGCTCTGAGTCTGTGTGCATCATGGAGGTTTCTTCTTATTGGTTTTCAGGAATCTAACGGTACTGCAGTGTGCTGCTTCCCAGCATCAAACACCTTCTCTGTTTTCTGTCAACATTCAGCGCTTGTGCGACACTGTTTGATTGTAGTTTTGAGCGGTTCTTTGGCAAATAAGGATGGTTGCTTCTGCCTCTGCTATAATCTCCCTGCAAAGTTGGCCACGTTCTTATATTTACCGTCTGGGTGTCTTAGATTCAAGTTTAAATGCAACTTTAAATGTCATTAGAAGGAAGATTTTGGTGTGGCTTTTGTGTCTCCAGGCAAAATTCCCAAGCCAAATTTTAAGTGCCTTTGACTGTGAAAGTGTCCCAATCAGACGGTTATTTCCCAACGCAGCTCCCTGCCTGCTCCCGCAACCAAACGCTCGGAGGAGACACGACTCTGAGCTCTTGATCACCCTTAACAGCGCCTCTAGACAATCTCCTTTTAAGCTCTGTAAACACATACACATTATGGTGTCTGAGAAGTGACAGTGCTGTGCTGCTGATGAAGAATGAATGAGAAAATGTTACATGTCTGCTTCCTGGAGCAGTGGAATGCTGTTGCACTTGCAGCCTTTTGAGTCATGTCTAGCTTTGAAAGATGGGATAAATCACGGTTTCAGTTCTCAGATTGTTAAAGTATTTTAAGCAAAGAACCTGAGCTCAGTGCGTGTGCACCTAGATGTCTCCGTCACGGTGCATTTTATCTGAAGGGGGGTTGGGTAACGGAGAGCCAGTGTTATTCATGAAGAGGTTTGAAATTCTCCATCTCTTGCAACACCTCTGCTGAAATAAAACAAAAAAAGCTACAGTAGGCAAAAAGTAAATGTGTTTATTTACAGGTGTTTGCTTTTTATTGATAATACTAATTGTTTAAACTACTATCCTCTCATCTGGTTGATCAATATCAATCAGTTTTTCTTCCTTTTGCGTAAGGATACCTCTGGAGTGGGTTCAATCACCTACCTGCAGGATCTCTGTCGCCATGCCCACATTCCCATCACTCTGTTTTATCACAGATAGTCCGTACATTGATTGTCGGGACCACAGCAGCAGTGAGGGGCTGTTCATTTGGCTGACAGTGAGGCTCATCTTGCAGAAAGCTTTTGTTACCTGTGAAATAAATATAGGCTATTTGCTACATTTGTGTCTGCATGTGCTTGGCTTGTTCACATTAATTAGTAGACTTTGTAAATAAGACGTTAGCTTTTTCATTCAAATAAATGCTCCTGTAGATCTCATGCATTCTCTCCCTGTGGTTGCCAATAAAATTTTGTTTTTATTTATAAGGATTTCAAAGCTGTGCTCTTTTGTTAACTTTTGTCAGTTTAAGGTTTCACCACTAGATGGAAGCAGAGGACTTTGGAGCAGCAATGATGGGACAGCCTGCCACAAGGCCAGAATGGATCATCTTAAGTGAAATTATGAAGCATATTTTGCTAAAAGGGTGTGGCATGTTTGCAGATTTTAAGATGCAATGGTGAAAATGAAGACCGTTTCTTTTTTAGCTCTCAGTTACTGCATTGCAAGCCCTATGAACTTAAAACTGACCAACTCAAGTGTGGTGTTAAGTGACAATTACAAAGCAGCACAGAAGGGGACTTTCTAGTCTAGCCATAGCTTATCTGGATTAAGTTCTAGACTTTGCATCATTCTATAAAAGAATATCTCTTCATCAACATTTTGATTTCTGTTGACTGTTTAAAGGTGTTCGATCCAATGATCTAAAGTTGACCTAAAACGGCCTCCTGGTCGCTCTAGAATCTTAACCAAACGGTGCACTTTTTTTTTTTTTTTTAAGAACTGCATGCTTTTATATGGAACCCCTCTGAAGCTTATAATAAACCCCAAAGATTAATGGAAGTAGAACCACTATCCAAGTCTTTTCTTACTAACCTATACAGCTGTGCCTGCTGAAAACAGTTCTGTCCTTCTGAAACCACTGAGTTATGTAGTGACTATCAGGGTGATGCATAATCCTAGTTAAGTGAAATATGTTTTCCATTGAGGCCAGAAAGTTAAATTTTTGTCTCATCTGACCAGAACATCTCATTCCAAATGTTATCTCTTTATATCACTTAAAAAAAAAGAAAAAAAAGTCGTCTGAGCTTTTTTTTTTTTTATTCCAACAATGTTTTGTGTTTTTCTGATTCTCTGCTCTTCATTTTTGTATTATATATTGAATAGTTCTATGGCAGATGTCTTAAAGGTTTCTACCAAGCAGCCGTCTCCCTGACATGATATTGTTTGTTTGTTCATTTCCATTCTCTAACAAACCAAGACCTAACAGAGCAGCTTGTAAACACTGTGCACTAATTAGATCAATTCTAAAGGAAATTTACCTCTTTGAACTTGAGGAGCTTGAGAATAAAGAAGCTTTACAAAAGATTTGGAATATTGTGGGGAAAAAAAATTAAATTCCCTTTTCTTTGCTTCTATGTTATATGATTACTACAAAAACAATTGTAATTTTAACTTGATAAAATATAGACAAGCTGATGTTCAAAGGCTGTGCATCTTCAGACACTGGACCTGCATTTGAAGCAGATACGGTGATATTTCTTGCATATAGCTTTCTCATTTAAAAGAAAGCAAGTAAGGATATTTTCAAATTAAGATCCAGGAAACAGCCATTTGCAGGTGTAGTACCCTCGAGCTGTTGGTGAGCAGAACTCTGCTGGTCTAACAGGAATGCACATTAATCTAATTTCCTAAACACAGCGTTAAATGAACATCTGCAGGAGCTCATTGTATCCGTGTTGGTAGGTGGAAGGTGTGGACAGATGTGGGTGTTGCCTGAAGAAATGCATGGATCTACATGGCCTGTAGTGACACTATGGGATTGTTATTATTGTTCTCTTTAATGTGCTTTACTAAACACAGCCCTTCCTCATTTGCATAATGAGGCAGAAATGCATACAGAAATGTAAAAACGACAGGCAGAAACAAATAGCGTGGAATAAATAGGGTAAAAAAATAAAAAGGAAGAATTAAACCTACAAAAATATTATAACAGCCAAATAAATAAATATGTAAAAGAATAAGTATTTATATATAGAGAGAGATATATAGACCTACATTTATTTGATTGTTGTATTTTTGGGGGCAATTAATTGTATGCTTATTTATTTATTATGTATATATTTTTAGATATAGTACAGCTGGTCCTCCATATTTGTGGAAGTAATCAGTGGTGTCAAGTAACGAAGTACCAATACTTCATTACTGTACTTAAGTACACTTTTCACGTAACTATACACTACTCCATTACTTATTTTTCTTCCTACTTCTGACTTCTACTCATTACATTTTCACACAAGTACCTGTACTTTCTATTCCTTACATTTTTAAAACAAATGCTAAAATATTCAGACACCCATGGCAATGCATATAGTTCAAAGAAATAAGAAACTGCAAATTCAATGGGCTCATTTGGCAACATTATGTTAAGTCATTTTAAGAATTAAAAATTCTGATCTTGTATATTGAGGGATATCAGAAATGAAAGAGTAAAAATAGCCAGAAAATGTACAATAGGCCTACACAGCATGACTGAGTGTTCTGTAGATTACACACTAGTGTACAGTGTATTTGTTGGGATTTACCCTTGCTTGCATATATTTAGCAGCAAAATAAACATTGCCATCCATAATAATGTCTGACATCCATAGCTAAAAAAAGACTAGTCATACTTAATGTTTGAAAAGTTTTACTGCCATTAATGAATAACATGAGACATATTATGGATGGCAATTCAAATTCAGATGATGGGGTTAACAGTAGTTTTTCTTTGGGTTCCTGCGCATATAGGGGTGAGAGGAATTAAAATGGCTGAAAAAAAAGCTAGAGTCGATAAACCGGAATGAGAAAGATATAAAAATTAGCACGAGTAAATCAGAGGTTAAAAGTGTTATTAAAAGGCAGATCCAAGAAAAATATCAGAAACAGTGTGAAGAAGATATAAAAGGAAGATGGCTTTACAGAATACAAAGGAAGGTTGGAGAAGCTCGAGGAAACATTTGAAAGAATAGAATACAAGAAAGGATAATAACAAGGTTACGGTTGGGACATACAGGGCTTAATTCAACATTACAGTTAATGGGGAAACATCAAACAGGAAGATGTGACGTCTGTGAATAAATTGAAACAATAGAACATGTAATGTATACCTGTAGGAAATATCATAGACAAAGAATACAGTTGGGAAGGAGTTTGAACAAGAAAAACAGCAGTTTAATCTTATAAACGTTTCAAGGGAAAATTCTTATGATATAGTCTATAAGATTATGTATTGTTATTTATTGGAAACAGGATTAGTCAGAAGAATATAGTCTTTTTTTTCTGAGCCTGTCTGTCCTGATCCACACAATTACTGGTTAGTGGCAGTAATGCACCTAATAGTTGTTTGCCAACCGACATTAAAAAGAAGAAGATTTATTCTAGACTTTGAGTGAGGTGTAACTGAGTGATCGGTAGGTTTCAGGGTTTTTCTGGAGGCATGGTGTGAGTTGAAACTCTGCAACAATTATAGCAACTCCTGTTTGTCCACACGGATTTTTTGATGCATCTGTATAAATGTTTTACATAATTATAAAACTGTTTTATATATTCCTGCACTATTATGGAATTACATTTATACATTTTATCTCCATTTTTCCTTTCTAATATAGTTAAATCTACATTTAAATCAGTTAAAATCCATGGCGGAATAATTGATAACGGCACTTTGGGCTAATGCTTCAATGATTTAACTGTACCTACTGTTACTATCTGAATGATTATCCAACCAAACGACTTATTATCAACTCTTTCTTTCGGATGATTTTGATTGTGTCCTTGCAAATGAACCCAGTTATTTAATGACAGTTGTATTCTTCTCAACGCTAACAGCATTTCACCCACCTCCACCTGTAAAGATGATGTTGAAGTTGTCCTTATTGCTCCAGTTATCAAATGCAAAGCTTGATATTGGATGGTTTCCACTCTTTTGATTACTGTCTCCGATGCTGATCCATAAACTATACTACCATAATCAATTGTTGATCTACTCAGATTTATATCAAATAATTTTATAGCTTGTCTATCTTCTCCCCATTCGTAACCAACTTAACATCTCAGTATATTACAGGGTTCCTGCGGGTCCTTAAAAAGTCTTAAAAGGCATTGAACTATTCAAAATAAAACTAAGGCCTTAATTGGTATTAAAATGTCTTAAATCAGTCTTTCGTAGGTCTTTATTTTTAAAAACATTTGAACATACATGAGGCACAGTGTATTTTGTGCAAGAAGTCATTCAAGCTCGGAACGATGGGAACTAAGGCAGTGGAGTCGCACATGCGAAGCGCGAAACACAAAGCGTCAAAATCGAGTTACCGAGAAACAGTATTTCTCGGTTTTGTTCCACCCTTGTCTCTGCAAAACAAAGTTTGTGAATTCAGTTAAATAATTGTTAAAATATATCTGTCATTTTTGTGTTTTTAGCTTTTTTCCTGTATGGGAAGCTTTTCAAAATTTGAAACATTAGTGCAGTGGTTTATGTTAAAATAAACCTTTGGGTTAAGTTTTCGCAAGAGGGTTTTTCTTGTGTTTCTTGTGAATTTGGTCTTAAATTTTTATTTCAAGTGGCATTATAAAGTCTTGAATTTAACTTGCCTTATGCTGTAGGAACCCTGTATTAAGCATCTTTTTTACATTTTTCAATAACCTTTGCTATGTGCACTTTTCAGGATAATTTTTCATCGAACCACACTCCTGCTTTACTCTTCCTAGCTCCTGATTATATAACTTCAGTTTTACTTCTTGTTTTCTTTTCAGAGTAAAAAGAAAAACTTTTGTTTTTTCAATCAAAAATTTCAAACTCCTCTTGCAATACCATTGTTCAATCTTATGAATTGCTTTCTGGACTTTCCCTACAATAAATTTTATATTCCTTCCAGGTTTCCAAATATCTCCATCATCAGCAAACAAACAGCATCCTAATTTATTTTATATATCTTTGAATGCATCATTTATCATGACTGAAAATAAAAAAGGACTTATAATACTACCCTGTGGAGTTCCATTGTCTATTTCATTTTTCCTTGAAGAACTCTTATTACAGGGATTCCGCGGGTCATTAAAAATCATTAAGTCATTAAATTATAATTTTTTTAATTTTTTTAAGGCCTCAATTGGCATTAAAATTCATTAAATGTGATTACCATGGCATTTAAAATGCTTTAAAAAAAAAAAAGGGGTGAAATATATCAGATTTAACTGGTTCTACGAGAATGGGAAAATGCTCATTTCAACA